GGAGGCGTTCGGCCCGAAAATGACGCCGGCGCCTCAGCGAGAGTCGCTTCCCGGGATTTCCCGGGCATCCTGTGCGTAAAAAACAATACGCGGAGAATGCGCGGCCGTCGCCCGGACGCCATCAGGGGAAGAGGGAGAGCATTTTCATATTGAGTAATTGTAGAGGAGAAGCAAGAGAGGAGGAGGAGGAGGAGAGGGAGGAGGAGGAGGAGGAGGAGGAGGAAGAAGGGGAAGAGGACGCGGAGGAGGAGGAGGAGGAGGGAGGGGAGGGGGGGGGGAGGAGGCGGAGGAGGAGGAGGAGGAGACGAGGAGGAGGGGGATAATGAGGATGAGGAGGGCGAGGGCGAGGAGGAGGAGCAGGAGCAGAGAAGGAGGGCGAGGGGGAGGGGGAAGAGGAGGAGAAAATGCCGAGGAGAAGGAGGAGGACGAAGAAGAAGAAAGGAGGAGAGGAGGAGGAGGAGGAGGAAGAGGAGAAGGAGGAAGAGGAGGAGGAGCACGATGGGGAAAGAGGAAGAGGAGGAGGAGGGGGAGGAGGGGCAGGAGCGAAGCCTGCTGCGCTGCGTAGTTCGCCTCATAGGCGGCGCGGCGCTCCTCCTCCGGGGCCATGGCGCGCTGCTCCTGCTCAGGAGGAGAAGGCGGCGAGGATGAGGAGACGATGAGGATGATGGGACGAAGAGGGCGGGAAGGGGGGGGGAGGGGGGGGAGGGGGGGGGGGGGGGGGGGGAGGGGGGAGGAGGAAGGGGGAGGGCGATGGGGGGGGGGGGGGGGAGCAGGAGGAGGAGAAGCAGGAGGAGGAGGAGGAGGAGGAGGGGAGGAGGAGGAGGAGGAGGGGGAAGAGGGGGGCGAGGAGGAGGAGAGGAGGGGGAAGAGGAGAAGGAGAGGACGAGGAGGAGGACGAGGAGGAGGAGGAGGAGGAGGAGGAAGAGGGGGAGGAGGAGGGGGGGGGGCGAGGAGAGGAAGTGATGGGGGCGAAGGGAGGGGGGGGGGAGGAGGATGAGGAGGGGGAGGAGGAGGAGGAGGAGGAGGAGGAGGAGAAGCAGGAGGAGAAGGAGACGGAAGAGAGGGGGGGATGGGGGGGGGGATGGGGGGCGGGGAGGAGTGAAGCCTGCATGCCCGTCGGAATCGCGACAGCAGCGTGGGCGAAGTCCTCGTCGCGGCGCCGCTCGTGCGCGGGCTCGGACCGGGCGGGCGAGTGCGTCGTGATGGGGCACGGCAACGATGCCGCGGAGGAGGAAAGGAAAGGAGAAAGGAGGAGGAGGAGGAGGAGGAGGAGGAGGAGGAAGAGAGGAGGAAGAGGATGAGAAGGAGGAGAGGAGGAGGAGGAGCGGGAGGAGGAGGAGGAGGAGGAGGAGGAGGGGCGGAGGAGGAGGGGGGGAGGAGGAGGAGAAGGAGGAGGGCGAGGAGCGAAGCCTCGTAGCCCTCACAGTCTCTGTGCTCGAGGTAGTCGCCGTCGCAGAACAAGCGGCTCAGCTGCTCGTCGGGCTCCGCCGGCGGGTCGAAGATCGGGGGCGGCGACGCCGTGGAGGAGGAGAGGAGGAGGAGAGGACGATGAGAAGAAAGGGGGGGGGGATGGGGACGGCGAGGAAGAGGGGGGGCGGAGGAGGGGGAGGAGGAGCAGGAGGAGGACGAAGAAGAGAAGAGGAGGACGAGGACGAGAGGACGAGGAGTAGGAGGAGTAGGAGGAGCAGGAGGGGCAGGATGAGGAGGAGGTGGAGGAGCGAAGCCTCGTCGTGCTCGGCACGGCGCGGCGACCGGGGGCGGCCGCGGGCGTCGGCATGCTGCGCCGCGGCCGGAGGAGTCGGCATGCTGGCTGCCGTCAGCAGGGCGAGGCCTTGAAGGCCTCGAATGCTCGAAAGCTTGAGCCGAAACGGCTGCGAGTCGGGAGCGCGCCCCAGGGCCCTGGGCCGAGGTGGAGGAGGAGGAGGAGGAGGATAAAGGGGGGGAGGAGGAGGAGGAGAGGGGGGGGGGTCCCAGGGCCGCGGTTCTGGGCCAGAACGGGGGGGGGGCCGCGGTTCTAAACCAGAACAGGGGGGGGGGGGAGCGGTCTGGACTAGAGGGGGGGGGGGGGGGGGCGGCCCCGGGGCCGCGGTTGTGGACCAGAACGGGGGGGGGTCCCTGGGGCCGCAAGCCCCCTTGCAGCCGCGCGAAAAAAAACAAGCAGAACACAGCCCCAAAAAGAAGTTCGTGTCCCTAGACGACGGGAGGCTCACCACACACCGCCTCGGCACGCCCCGATGATCCCCAGAATGTCCCCGAAAGCCCCGAGAAGCTCCCGGACCCCCCCGAACGAGCTCACAAGGTCCCAGGGAGTGCGCTCGCCAAAGGTGGTGGGTGGAGAGAACTTCCTCCCCCTCCTGCTCATCTGCCTCCTCCTGCCTCCCCCCCTTCCTCCTCCTCCTCGTCCTCGTCCTCCTCCTCCTCCTCCTGCTCCTCTCCCTCCTCCCCCTCCTCCACCTCCTCCTCCTCATCCTCCTCTGCCTCCGCCTTCCTCTCCTCCTCCTCCTCCGCCCGCTCTCCTTCCCCCCCCCTCCCTGCCCCCCCCCCCCCCGAGAGCAGCAGCGGCGAGGCACCGTCGCCGTCGGCGGCGGGGGCCCCGGGGGCCGAGCGCCGCAGGTGGCGGAGGCGACGCAGACGGTTGCAAGAACTGGAAGAAGCTTCCGAACTGGAGGGGCCCACCATGCCGCGCGGCCGACGAAGAGCTCTGCCCCGCGGCCGGCGACGCCGGCGGCTCGCCACTGGCCCCCCTCTGGGCCCCCTCTTGGGCCCGTTTCGGGGCCCTCTTGGGCCATCTTGGGCACCTCTTGGGCCGTCTTGGGGCCCTCTTGGGCTGTTCTGGGGCCCTCTTGGAAGCTTCTTGGGCCGTCTTGGGGCGGTTTTGGGCGCCTCTTGGGCCGTCCTGTAACGTCGGAAAACCCAAAAGGCGACTTTGTGCAAAATTTACGTTTTACGAAGGGAATGGGCCACTGTTTGCGTCTAGGGGCCCTCTTGGGACGCATGTTGGAGGCTTCTTGGGGCGTCTTGGGGGCGTCCTTGGACGTCTGGGGTTTCCTGGGGCCTCTTGAGGGGCCTCCTTGGGGCCTCCTGGCGGCCTCTTGGGGCGGAAGGCTCGAGCTTGCGGTTCGTGGTCCCCCTCTGGGCCCCCTCTTGGGCCCGTCTTGGGGCCCTCTTGGGCCATCTTGGGCGCCTCTTGGGCCGTCTTGGGGCCCTCTTGGGCTGTCCTGGGGCCCTCTTGGAAGCTTCTTGGGCCGTCTTGGGGCGGTCTTGGGCGCCTCTTGGGCCGTCCTGTAACGTCGGAAAGCCCAAAAGGCGACTTTGTTGAAAATGTACGTTTTACGAAGGGAATGGGTCAATTTTTGCGTCTAGGGGCCCTCTTGGGACGCATGTTGGAGGCTTCTTGGGGCGTCTTGGGGGCGTCCTTGGACGTCTGGGGTCTCCTGGGGCCTCTTGAGGGGCCTCCTTGGGGCCTCCTGGCGGCCTCTTGGGGCGGAAGGCTCGAGCTTGCGGTTCGTGGTCCCCCTCTCGGCCCCCTCTTGGGCCCGTCTTGGGGCCCTCTTGGGCCATCTTGGGCGCCTCTTGGGCCGTCTTGGGGCCCTCTTGGGCTGTCCTGGGGCCCTCTTGGAAGCTTCTTGGGCCGTCTTGAGGCGGTCTTGGGCGCCTCTTGGGCCGTCCTGTAACGTCGGAAAGCCCAAAAGACAACTTTGTGAAAAACGTACGTTTTACGAAGGGAATGGGCCAATTTGTGCGTCTAGGGGCCCTCTTGGGACGCATGTTGGAGGCTTCTTGGGGCCTTTGGGGGGCGTCCTTGGACGTCTGGAGGCCATCTTCAGCATCTCGGAGTCCTCTTGGAGGCCTCTTGGAAGTTTCTTGGGCCGTCTTGGGCGCTCCTGGGGCCGTCTTGTCTGACCGGGGAGGCCTCCGGCAAGCCCCGACGAACCTCCGGGCCCCCCGGAGCCCACATTTGCGGTCGGGGTCCCGGCCCCGGCCCCCCGGACCCGGTGCGCCGTTATATGTATATGCCACACGATGATGTAACATGTTTTTTTTTTTTTTGCGAGGCCCATCAGTCTGCTAAAGTGTACTCCCCAATGGTACGCATGCACGTGCTCCTGGACAGGGTGGTCGATCTGCGCAACACGCTGCGTGCCCGAGAGTAGAACATTGTCGCATTTTTTAGTTCGTGCGAGGTGTCTTCGTGCCTTTTCGAAGCTAGCCTCCAGGGGGTTGTAGGTAACGATGCGCATGGAGAACTCTGAACGCGCAAAGCAACTCAGGCAAGCAAGAACGATAAACAATACATGCATGCAGATCGTGCCCCCTGCGGATGTGACGTGGGAAATTGTACAGTAGTGCGCTCGAAGGTGTGAGTATCCTCCCTAAGAGCGGGCCGCACGCACGCGCTCGTGTCTGAAATTGCGGCTGAGGAGGAAGAGGAGGAGGCGGAGGAGGGTCATAACTCGGGCCTCTGGCGGCCACTCGGGACGATCCGGGCATCCCTGGAACGCCCTCGGCGAGGCGCGACTGCTGGAAGGCATCCCGAGGCCAGGAAGGCTTCGGGGGAAACCTACGCAAACGCCCGAAAGCCTCGAAAGCCTCAAACCTCGGCGCGAGGACGTGAAGGCGGAGGAGGAGCCCCTTCGCGACCAGCCTCGAGCGTATCCCGGTGCCTCAGATTACCAAGCCCAATCGCGATGCCAATCCTAGAGACGCGCCCTCAGTAGCGGAGAGGGCGTCAATATTGGAATCGAGCTGAGGCGATGCCAGTCACCGAGGGTCTATAGGTGTATGCTTCAAGTCGGTCTACCGGGGATCGGCCTAAACAGCGTTTTGCGTTTTCGTTTTGTTTTCGTTTTCCCTCGGTTTGTCTTCAATCCGCCTTTGCTGCAAAACCAAATCGAAATGAACACGGCCCGCGAAATCGCCAAAAACACCGCTTAGGTCGACCCCTGCAGTCTACCTGTGCCCTGCGCCCCCCACCCCCCTTCTGCGCGCCCGCGGGGAGCCGCCCGAGCGCCTCCAGGAGCGGCCCGCGCTCCAAGACCTGCGCGAAGACGGTGGCCTCCACCGTCACCTGGTGGGGCGGCGGGCGCCGCCCCGTGCCCCACGGCCTCGCGCACCCCCGGGAACTCCTCGGCCGCGGCCCCACATGGATACGCGGGTCGGACGGTGAGGGGGGACGCAGATACGCCGCCAAAGCATGTACATTGACACCCTCCGACGAGTCTCGTAAGCACCTTCAGGGGGGGGGGCGGTGCAGAAAATCGCTGGCTCCCAATGGTGATTTACACACCGCCACCCTCCCCTGAGGCCGAGGAATGATCCATTGGAAGGTGTATGTGTGTATGTTGTTTTTGCTTTTGTGGCGGAGCAGAGGCGGCTCTGCGCCGATTCTTGGTTCGGAGCTCATGCCTGTCTGCCTTCTTCCATTCACGGCCTCGCGGTCCAGACCCCTCGGCCGCGACCCAACTGGATACACGGGTCGGACGAGAGAGGGGGGGGATAGTGTAGAGAGGGGTCGGCGAAAATGCGCTCACGCAGCCAGCTCTTCATGCGCCCCCTGGCGCTGGAGACGGCCACGCCTCAAGGGAAACACCTGGCGCTCCAGGGGCGAAACCGGCCGCGTGCAGCAAATTGCGTACACCCCCCCTTTCCCTGTCCCCCCCGTGCCGTCCGACTGGAGATGCACGGCGGCTCTGCGCGGTGTCCGCAAGATCGCGTATCCATACGATCGCGGCTCGGTGTTCAGACCGCGAGGGTGTGGACGGCGTTCGGAAGAAGTGGTTAGGAGCATGAAGCAGAACGGCGTTGAAAGAAGAAAGGGGCTCCGCCCGCCCCTCAGGGAGAACCGCCCGACTCTTGAAATAGGGATGCGCCTAAAGCACGATGGAATCCGGACATCACAAACTACCAACTTTCAACGAGTGACGAGTATCGTCGTCACTCCTGGGTCACCGTCGCGGTGCGCTTCAGGGCGAGGTCTAGCGCGCACAGCTCCCCGACGAGCTCGCCTCGCGTTTCTTTTTCTCCCACGACGCAGCTCGTCATGAAAAGCGTGGGCTTCCCAACTGATTGGAAGTTGGCTTCACGAGGCAACAGTTGGCCTGGGAGGAGGAGGAGGAGGAGGAGGAGGAGGAGGAAGAGGAAGGGGAGAAGGAGGAGGAGGGGGAGAAGGAGGAGGAGGACGAGGAGGAGGAAGAAGGGGGGCGCAGAGGGGGAGGAGAAGGGGAGAGGAGGCGGGCAAAACCCGCGGGCTGGCATGCTATATACCACCACCGTGACCGGCCAGGACCATCCTGGGCCTTCGCATTGTGTGCACACCCTCCTGGTCGAGGCCAAGAGGGCCCGATTGTTCTTGCTAGATGTGCGACAGGGCCCCTGACATCTTTGGCAACTGCACCTACGTTTCAGGCACCTGTTGCGTGCTGGCTGGTCGACGGTCCTCCCAACAGATCTCCGGAAGGGCCGCTGCGCCACTGGCGTGGCCGCTGGCAATGCATCTGCCTACCGCACAAGGCGGCGGTGCGAATTTGTCTGCACGAGGGATGCTTCTTCCGACCAAGCAAAGGTGAGGAAGGGGAGCTGATACAACAGCGCGATGACAAACACGGCGACGCATACGTGAAGTCACTGAGCTACCTAAAACGGCGCGTATGCGAGCGTAATTGAAGCGACCAGTCAACGGACTGTCCTGCGAGAGATGGCGAGAATAAATGGTCACTCTCGCACTCACAATCCGGGCCCAACGATCGTGGACACACGGTGGACTTCAAAACCTGCTGTGGCCCCAGACTCGTGTAGGGGGACACAGCAGGAAGAGGGGGAAGGAAGGAGGATGACGAGGAGGAAACACCAAGAAGCACAATCAAGGCGAGATCGCCAAGAACTCATCGAGTGAAGTCGTGTGCCGAAGAACTCAATGAACTCGGAAATGTACATTGTTTAACCTCCGCCACATCCGTGTCGCGGCAGCGGTGCCCAAAGGCTGCCGTGCCCCGCTGCCACGGCCAGGGATGGCGACACGCTGTACGCGGGCGACGACTCCACAGCGGCGGTGGCAGAGCTACAATAATGTTTCTTCCTCGTCTGGAACTCTGCAGGCGGCCGGGGGGCAGCCGACAGCACCGCCCCAGAGAAAACAGGATACAAGCCCCTGGGCCGGGAGCAAATTAGTTATGGATCCGCAGACCACTCTACAGCGACCCAGCGGGCAGGGCGGCGACTAATGACGTCCGGGTCTCAAGAGCATGGGTTCGGGACCAACCTGCACAGAACAATAAGCCTGATCGAAGCATCTGAACAGAGCTCCGGCCAGTACCTCGGCCAGAACTAGTCCAAAGAACCAGCGCCATGCTAAATTGCCAGCCTGAGAAGGCCCCGAATACAAACATGCAGAAATACGATTGTGTATTTGTAAAGGGGGGAGGGGAGGAGGAAGAGAGGTAGGAGGCGGAGGAGGAGGAGGAGGAGGAGGAGGAGGAGCAGGAGGAAAGGAAGAGAAAGGAGGGGGAGAAGGCACTAAGATAAGGCTGACAAATTGAAAGCACTATCCTGGCGAAGGATCCAACCGTATGCAGTTGTGAGTACCGCAATTGTGAATATTTTCTTCGGTGATGCCCACGAACCGTATGAGGGGCGTGCCGAAATGTGGCGGGGTACACAACACGAAAGAAAACGATTGGCCGAATTACGAGAGACTGAGCGCTGGTGAATATGAGCGCGAGTGAGTCTAACTGTGAATGAGTCTGCGCGCGAACGAATATATTTGCACGAATGCGATTATGGCTACGCCTCGTGCGTCTGTACATGAATGTGAATGGTTCGGGTACGCCTGTCTGTGTACTCGTGACACTGAGCGTGGCCGCCGCCGAAAGCTTCCGCGGGAACCCCGGCGGCAGCGCCCGCACGCCGCGACGCCCATGTCGGTACGCCCCTCACGAGGATCGCGCCCGCTTCCTTCCCTTCTTTTCCTCCCTCTTTGCCCGCGCACTCTAAAGTCCAATGGTGGCGGAGGCATTGGCGCCTTCGGTGGAGCCCGCTTATGGGGCCATGAAACGTGTGAGGGGTGTGCCGGAATTCGTGTGGGGGGCGCATGCGGGCGGTGGCAGTGGGGCCTTCGGTGGAGCTCCCTATGGGGCCACGAAACGTGTGAGGGGTGTGCCGATGTGTGTGGCGGACGCATGCGGGCGGTGGCATTGGGGCCTTCGGTGGAGCTCCCTATGGTGCCACGAAGCGTGTGAGGTGTGTGCCGACATGGGTGTGGGGGACGCATGCGGGCGGTGGCACTGGGGCCGTCGGTGGAGCTCCCTATGGGGTCACGAAACGTGTGAAGGGGGTGCCGAAATGGGTGTGGGGGCATGCGGGCGGTGGCACTGGGGCCTTCGGTGTGGAACTCCCTATGGGGCCATGAAACGTGTGAGGGGTGTGCCGACATGGGTGTGGGGGACGCATGCGGGCGGTGGCACTGGGGCCCTCGGTGGAGCTCCCTATGGGGCCACGAAACGTGTGAGGGGTGTGCCGATGTGTGTGGCGGACGCATGCGGGCGGTGGCATTGGGGCCTTCGGTGGAGCTCCCTATGGGGCCACGAAGCGTGTGAGGGGTGTGTGCCGACATGGGTGTGGGGGACGCATGCGGGCGGTGGCACTGGGGCCGTCGGTGGAGCTCCCTATGGGGTCACGAAACGTGTGAAGGGGGTGCCGAAATGGGGTGGGGGCGGGCGGTGGCACTGGGGCCTTCGGTGTGGAGGGCCATCCCGACATGGGTGGGGGGCATGCGGGCGGTGGCACTGGGGCCCTCGGTGGAGCTCCCTATGGGGCCACGAAACGTGTGAGGGGGTGTGCCGACATTCGTGTGGGGGACGCATGCGGGCGGTGGCAGTGGGGCCTTCGGTGGAGCTCCCTATGGGGCCACGAAACGTGTGAGGTGTGTGTGTGCCGACTGTGGGGGACGCATGCGGGCGGTGGCACTGGGGCCTTCGTGAGGAAGCGTGTGTGTGCCGAACTGGGTGTGGGGGACGCATGCGGGCGGTGGCACTGGGGCCTTCGGCCTATGGGGCCATGAAACGTGTGAGAGGTGTGCCGAAATGGGTGTGGGGGACGCATGCGGGCGGTGGCACTGGGGCCTTCGGAGGAAATTCCTATGAGGCCACGAAGCGTGTGAGGGGTGTGCCGAACTGGGTGTGGGGGACGCATGCGGGCGGTGGCACTGGGGCCTTCGGTGTGGAACTCCCTATGGGGCCATGAAGCGTGTGAGGGGTGTGCCGAAGTGGGTGTGGGGGACGCATGCGGGCGGTGGCACTAGGGCCTTCGGTGTGGAACTCCCTATGGGGCCATGAAACGTGTGAGGGGTGTGCCGAAATGGGTGTGGGGGACGCATGCGGGCGGTGGCACTGGGGCCTCCGGTGGATCTCCCTATGGGGCCACGAAACGCGTGAAGGGTGTGCCGAAGTGGGTGATGATGCTGGTGATGATGACGGTCGTGATGATGATGATGACGATGATGATGATAACGATGATGATCATGATGCTGATTGTGACGCTGATGGTGATGATGCTGATGATGATGATGATGATGATGATGATGATGATGATGATGACGGGAGGAAAGAGGAAGGGGGAGGAGGAGGCGGAGAGGAGGAGGAGAGGAACGCGGGGCGACGTCTCTTCAAAACGAGGACCCAACACCGCAGGATGGTTGGGAAATTATCCTGGCGAAGGACCCAACCATATGCAGTTGTGGGTACCGCAATTGTGATAATTTTCTCCGGTGAAACTCCCTATGGGGCCACGAAGCGCTGCACTGGGTGGGGGGGAACGCTGTTCTGGGTGAGTGGTGTGTCAAGTAATGTCTCCGGGACGCATGCGGACGGTCCCACTGGGGGCTTCGGTGGAGCTCCCTATGGGGCCACGAAGCGCTGTACTGGGTTAGTGAAAATGCCAAATTGGGCTTCCGACACGCATGCGGACGGTCCCCCTGGAGGCTTTGGTGGCGATCCCTATGGGGCCACGAAACGCTGTACTGGGTGGGTGAAAATGCCAAATTGGGTTTCCCGGACGCATGCGGACGGTCCCACTGGGGGCTTCGGTGGAGCTCACTAAGGGGCCACGAAACGTTGTATTGGGTGGGTAAGAATGCCACGTTGGGCTTCCTGGACGCATGCGGACGGTGGCGCTGGGGCCTTCGGTGGAGCTCCCTACGGGGCCACGAAATTCTGGACTGGGCGGGTGAAAATGCAACAATGGGTGTTCCGGGACGCTTGCGGACGGTGGAACTGGGGCCTTCGGTGAAGTTCCCTACGGGGCCACGAAACGCTGGACTGGGTGGGTGAAAATGCCACATTAGGTGTGCGGAACGCATGCGGACGGTGGCACTGAGGCCTTCGGTGGAGCTCCCTGTGGGGCCACGAAACGCAATAATGGGTGGGTGAAAATGCCAAATTGGGTGTTTCAGGACTCACTCGGACGGTCCCACTGGGGGCTTCGGTGGAGCTCCTTATGTGGCCACGAAGCGCTGTACTGAGTGGGGGCGGGGGCGCATGTGGACGGTAGCACTGTGACCTTCGGTGAACGCTGTACTGAGTGAGAGGAAACCATGTGGACGGTGGCGCTGGGGCCTTCGGTGGAGCTCCGTATGGGGCCACGAAGCGCTGTACTGAGTGGGGGGGGGGCGCATGTGGACGGTGGCACTGAGGCCTTCGGTGGAGCTCCCTATGGGGCCTCGAAGCGCTGTACTGAGTGGGGGGGACGCACGCTGACGGTGGCACTGGGGCCTTCGGTGGAGCTCCCTATGGGGCCACGAAGCGCTGTAGTGAGTGGGAAGGACGCATGTGGACGGTGGCACTGGGGCCTTCGGTGGAGCTCCCTATGGGGCCACGAAGCGCTATACTGAGTGGGGGGGACGCATGTTGACGGTGGCACTGGGTCATTCGGTGGAGCTCCACATGGGGCCACGAAGCGCTGTACTGAGCGGGGGTGACGCATGTGGACGGTGGCACTGGGGCCTTCGGTGAAGCTTCCTATGGGGCCACGAAACGCTGTACTGAGTGGGGGGGACACATGTACTGAGTGGGGAGGACGCATGTGGACGGTGGCGCTGGGGCCTTCGGTGGAGCTCCCTATGGGGCCACGAAGCGGTGTACTGAGTGGGGGGGGAACGCATGTGGACGGTGGCACTGGGGCCTTCGGTGGAGCTCCCTGTGGAGCCACGAAGCGGTGTACTGAGTGGGGGGGACGCGTGTGGACGGTGGCACTGGGTCCTTCGGTGGAGCTCCCTATGGGGCCTCGAAGCGCTGTACT